TGTGTGTGTGTGTGTGTGTGTGTGTGTGTGTGTGTGTTTGATGTCACTGAGATCCTGCTCTGGTATTCAAACAGCCGTCAGCTGATTCCACACATGGATGAGTTTAAATAAGCTTCACACTCCTCCTCCTCCTCCTGTTGGTTAAGTGTGATTTGTAGTAGAAGCAGAAGAAAAAAAACATTCAACCACACTACGGAAATTACAGGCACGACTATATCTTGAGGTGTCTGATAATAGATCAGTGATGATTGATTGGGGGGATGTTCCCCCCCAACAGTGACTATTTCAAGCAGTATCTTCACATATGTTTTACTGAAGCAGTGTGACTGTGTGTTTAAATGTGCAGAGAAAAACTATTTAACTAAAGTAAAAATGAGGTACGTGTTCATTTATTATTCTAGTTTCACACCTGCAACATGTAAAAGATGAGGAAAATAAGAATAGAAGAAATATAATTTTCTGTTTCCAGTGTCTTGACTTTTTTTTTTGTTACATGTTTTACAAGTTATAGTGCGGATAGTTTCATATAGTACATTTCTGCTTCCTTTCTATGTGCAAACATTTATAGGCTCAAAAATAGGTTTAGTTATATACATCAAGCACCTTGGTGTAACAGCTTAGGCAGCTAGTCATTCGTTTTTTTTTTCCTGTTGATTAACAATATGACCGAGTTCATTTTATTTTGGCACTCACCGGCTAACTAACATTATTTCATGACCATCTTTTTGTTCCTACGTTATCCTTACATTGGTTCACCATGCAGCTCATTGGGCCTTCACTCTAATTAAAGCGTAAAATAAAACTTATTATCAACATCTCCTATATGTGACACTTAGGCGTTAATGCACTGGACTGACTGCATCAGTGTGTGAGTCCAGATCAGCTGTGTTTCAGTCGACAGCTACATTTACAACTGAAAGCAAAACGCGCCTCCCTATGACACTGACAAGATCCTTCTCTGCTACTCTGGGTTTCTCATGGAGCAGCATTTACAGACAATACAAACCTCAGACATCTCATCTGTGGGGGTCAATGCATTTCACATTTCAATATCTGGCTCCGATATGTTCATGCTTCTAATTCACTTTCAATAAGTCCCATTGAGAAACTACTCTCTACACTACAATCAAAATGTCTGTGTGCAGGCTGCAATGTTGGTGTGGTTTCCTCTTCTTCAGTCTGGAACCATAATGGTGCTGGTGCTTCCTGCCAGTGACATTAAATTGATTTGAACTGTAGCGGAAAGGATTTATCCGCAGATTAAATGCAACAAGGCGTGTTGGCGTGCACAGACACAGCTCTTCTTCCTGCTGCTCCACTTTACACACAGCTAATGGTTTTTCCACTTTTTTGCCAGATAAAGCACATATGTTATGATTTATTTAGCTTTAGCCTGACTTTGCTCATGGTTTAATTTGACATGACACAGACACAAAGCTGGATCTGCGGCTTTAAGGCAGTAAAATGCTGAATCATGACATCGTATCAAGCTCATTGTCATTAATTATCAATTTGATGATTTGATTGATTGATGCTGTGTCGTGTATCGATGCCAGGTCAAAGTACCATCGCTGCACTCTTTAAACTAAAACCTGTTTTTATTGGTTTGTTGGAAGTATGTTAATCACAGGACTGTATATTTTGTGCAGTTGGCTCTAAAGCTGTCAGAGTTCTTGTACAATACGCGGTTATTCAAATGTGTGAAGTTATGGTGAGATTCCCAGGTTAGCATGTGTTTGTAGGTGAGTGTGTGTCATGCTATGTTTTTCTGAAGCTCTGCACTGCCTCAGAGCGACGTCAGCCCTTTGACTTACAGTAAATTCATCTTCAAGCGTCACCCAGCTCTGCTACTCAAGCACTTTTGATCTCCTCAGACCAAAACTGGATTTGCACGAGAATATGATATGAGTCAGTAAATGAAGAGGTTGACGCGTGAACACGGTGTCGCCATAGTTACAGAATTACATTGCAATGGTGTGGTACTGTAAAGCCGAGTGCGGTGGAGGTCATGTGACCACAGCTTCAGATACTGCCACGGTGACGAGGTGTCAGGATCTCCCAGCGCTCGAGGAAGACGATGCTGAAGATTTGTCGCTCTCCCTATGGTCGCTCTCGTCAGAGGACACAGGAGCCGCAGAGTTACTTCGAGGGACAGAAATACATGATGATAATGAAGAGATGCAGAATAAATAAATAAATAAGGTTCTTATGCAGCACTGGACAAATCAAAGAAAAACTATAGAATTAGATTATTATGAATCCTTGTGGAAAATGTTAAGTATTAATCATTTAATTATATAAAACAATGACAAACTACTATCTTTAGTTTAAATAAAGCAGTTCATTGAAGGACTTTTATATGAAATTCTCCAACTGATACTAGACTTAACTAACTCGACTGAAATACGTTTCAAAACTGACATCACATCACATTATTGTTTCTAGGAAAGGCAACACTTTATTTCCATTTTTCCTCACTTAGCATTTAAACTCTTAATAATTATCAATGTTTAACATTTTAACATATTTTTCAACATTTATAACTCCTCCTGTTCAAAATAGTTGCTGACCTGTAAAATAAAGTGTCACCAAAGGAAGAACAAGAGGCAGGATTGTGAGAGAGATAACAGACTGGTACGTGTGTGTGTGTGTGTGTGTGT